TGCACTGAAAATTTGTTGTTCATTGGTGTGTGACTGTTCCTGACCCTATTTGGGGTTTTCTTGGCAAAGGTACTGGAATGGCTGGGTTTCCTTCTCCAGTTCACTTTTACCCATGAGGAACTGAGGCAGACAGGGTTTAATCGACTTGTCCAGCGTCACACAGCTAATAAGTGTCTGAACTCCGGAAGATGGCTCTTCCTGGCTTCAGGCATAACACTCCATCCAGTGTGCCACCTAGCTGCCCCTACAATGAAGACGGTTTATTTTTAATTTAACTTCTTACTGGGTGAGAGGAAGGAAAGAGATAGAGGGGAGATAAATAGCACCAAAATGAAAAGAAAACCTTAACACTATGAAGTTACGTTCCAGTGCTACAAGATGCCATATTATGGCTCCTTAAACCAGTTGGTGGTCCCCCCCTGTGGTTTTGGTCAGAGGTGAAATCTTGAAAAAGCCAAAAAAGTCATCACAGGCCACACAAATATTAAATTATATTTGAGTTTGAAGGGCTCTGAAGAAGAAAAATACCCCCTCCTTAAAAAAAAATTCTTATTTTACTTTTAGTTTATCACATCAACCTTGAACAGTTGCACTTTTTTTTTCAGAGAAAGAATTATGTTTTATTGTCAAAATTATTTTGCTATTGGACTTATGTGTCTGTTATTTCTAACAATAGTGTATTTTTATATATTGCTTATTTTCTTAACTACATGTAAAGAAGTTTAAGATTCTTTTTTTTGAGTTCTAAATTCTCTCCTTCCTTCCCATCCTTGCCCCTCTCCTTGAGAAGGCAAGCAACTTGACAGATTATAGATGATTTGCATTCATCTTGAAAAGGGAGTTTGTGTAAGAAAAATTCACATTTAAAGTTTTAAAGCTAAAACCTGATGAAATTATGACATCAGATAATCTGCAAGATCTTATTGAATGAAAACCAGTTTTTAAAAAAACTATTAAAAAACATTGGTGAAGGCATCATTTTATTAGTAGACATATTTTTTCTTCTCCAAGTTCACAGAACCCTATAATCTACTCCACCCCAATCCCCATCAGATTAGGACACTGTTGGAAGTGATCCTCTTTTCCAAAGTGAGTAGATCTTTCTAGGTCCAACTCACACTTTTGCACCTACTACAGATGCCATGGGCCCCATTCTACCCCTGGCAAAGAAACTGAAGCTTTGAGTGGTTCATTTGCATAAGAAAAAGCCAGCAGGGCCCATGAAATCCCATCAAGGACGTAGTTTTTTAGTAGCATTTCCCCAGCACCCCCACCAACAACGAGCAACAAGCATATATTAAGTATTTCCTATATGCCAAGCTCTGGGTGTTTAGCCACTCGTTTGCATAGACTAAGGAGAGAACCTTAAGAGTTTAAAAAATAAACAACTGGGAAACGCTGAAGCCCAGAGCCCCAGTTCATACACAACCCCCAGCCACCCCACCCCCGCCACCAGTCTGATTGTGACCACAGGTGATAAGAGCAAATTGCCATTCCCTAGTTAGGGTCTAGCCTGGCAAAAAAGAAGATTTGGGAGGCTTTCTCTAGGGTCAGCAGCAGTTAGAGAAAGAGCTCTCATGGGGAGGACCGAGATCTTTCATTTCCTGCTTGGAAAGAAGCCTTGGAGCTGAGATCATGAGAGAACAAGAGAAAGCCTTACTATGCCAGTCCTAGGCTAAAGGATTCACTCCCAGCTGAGGACTGCAATCTGAAACTGGAGGAGACGGAAACTGTATCTGCCTGTTAAGAACCAGGTCCATCTTGCTTAGGAAGAAAATTTCCTACCACCTCTTCTTCATAGACTATTTCATTAAGTATTCCCTTTGTCAAAGCTAACTCTAGCTAGCTGATTGATAATCAGTAGGGAGCGCTTGGGATTAGTGCTCGTGAGTCTTAATATTAGTTAATTAGTAATGATTAATAATCCTCAGCTGCCCTCTGGGGGGTTTTAACCTGCCAAAATGCATGGGAATTAGGCCAGAAGTGGGGAAAAGGGTGCTACATATCATCTCCTCTGATAGAATGTAAGCTCCTTGAGGACAGGGTCTGCTTCTTGCCCTTGTATCTCCAGTGGCTAGCACACTCACACATATTTAATACATATTCACTTGATAAATGCTTATTGTTTGACTCAAAAGAAAAAAAAAAACAGGTCCAGGGAATCCAAGGGAACAACCTTCCCAGTGATAAACCTCTTACAGACTGCAGGGCTCTGGACTTGTGCAGTTGTGAGTTGCTTTGGCCATGTGCAGTCCCTCCATATAAACCGCTCACCCCCATGGCCATCATAGTGTATATTTGGAGTTGGGAGGAGGGAATATTCTGTTCTTGCTAGCTAAGACGTAATTGAGTCTGCCGCTGATTGTTAATAGGAATCACAATTGTAGGGGTTCCTGAACTGTAGTTTTAGAAGAAGGGCTCTAGAAGGCCCTTGCCCTCTGACAATCAGAAACTTTCTGTGGTTCCACCCCTCAAGTGTTATCGTAAGTTGGAGGAGTAGCGCAGAGAGGAATGCTACAAAAAAGTTTTTGTTGGGTTTTGGGGTTTGGTTTTTTTAATAAGGATGGTCTACTTTTTCCTTGGCAATGAATCCTTAGAAAACAATCTGCTGGGACCCTTCTTAAAGTTTTTCCAGCATGGTAGAACCTGCCCCTGGTCTAGTCTTCTGTTACCAAAGGTAAATCACCTCCAGACCACCAGGAAGCACCAGAGGGCATCAGGGGGAGGCTGATGAGCTATATGAAAGCAAATACTAAGTTTCTTTCCATTTATCCCATTCCAGAACTTGCCAAAGGGCTTATTTCTTGTACACTTCCTAGCTGTATGACCCTAGGCCAAGTCACTTAATCTGTTTGCCTCAGTTTCCTCATCTGTAAAATGGGGGTAATAATGGCAACCACTTCCAGGGTGGTTATGAGTATCAAATGAGATACTATTTATAAAGCACTTGGTGCAGTACCTGGCACATAGTAAGAGCATTATGTAAGTGTTGGCTGTTAGCATTCTTCTTCTTAATAGTCAGGTCCCTTTTCTCTCCCTCTCCCTTTCCCTTTCTCTTTCTCTCTCTCACTCTCTCTCATTTCCCCCTACCAACAAAAGAATCAGGATCACAGGCTACAGCTTCCAGAGAGCCCTTTACCGTCAATAAGCTAGATACAGAGGGATGGGTGGTGAGTAGTGACTTCTACTAGACGCTGGCTAGAAGTTTACAAGACACAAGCCCTTGGAATCCAACTCTGGCAGTCTGGAAGCAGATGTTGGGGGTAAATGGATTACAAAGGCTGGGTGAGCTCAGTGCTGGGCACCTGGTGCAGTGAATGATTCCCTTGTTTTCCTTACTGAAAAATTACCCTGTGACAGAAAGATGTTATAATTAACACAAGGAAAAAAATACATCTGACCCTATTAGAATCAGCAATTGAACATATTAAACAATTCCTTAGTATTTAAACTAGTAACCAAATCATTTTTTATTTGAAAAAGTTTTAGTCAAAAGGTAAATACTTACATTTTTACAGTAATTAAGCATGTGATAAAAATCATTGTAGCAAAGCCCTGAATAACATCAATGTTTAATTGTAATTATGTTATATATTATTACTTCTCCGCGGCTAGTTTTACTGTTCCAAAGTGCTTTCTTGCCAAGGCAGAGGAAGAAGGAAAGCTTGATGTGAGGTCAGAATGACTAAGGTGAAGAAGCTTAGCACCTTCGAACGCCTCACTTTCTCCTTGTCTGACCTTAGAAAAATCACTGAACCTCTTGGCCCATCAGGTTGTCAGGAGAAAAGTGTTCTCCGAACTTCAAAACTCAGGCTCAGTGTGAGTCATTATTATCCTCTCATTTTCTCATAACTAACAGTAAGAGGTACTGAAGAAGGTTCAACTTCCCACTAGCTATATAAAGGCCTAAGAGCTGAAAAAGCCAAACAAAACAAAACTGACTCCTCATTCCCAGTGACTGGAAGGCCTCCAACATAGAGGGTCCAAAAGGCCACAATCTGACAGGATGAAATAACACTCAACATGTTACCCGTGATATATTTTAGAGACAACTTTTTGCTCCACTCAGCAAATCTAAGTATCAAAATGTACTTTTAATCCACTCTTTCCCCAACTTGGAAGTTTGCCATCTCCCTCATCTGTGAGCCGTGCATATCTGACCCCAACTTATTGCCAGAGGACTGTGCCTACCCCAACAGGGAAGAGGCAAGAAGAGGCTTCCACTGGCTCCCTTGTGATCTTGGCAACCAAACTGGCCGCCTCCAGCCCCGTGGGTCTCTGAATCGTGTCTAATGTGCTCCTAAAGGCTGTCAGCCACCTCAGAGCCTGCCAGCACAAACACGCCTCAAAATCAGATGGGCACATGAGGGGGACAACCAGAGGGCACATTTAGAATCACATTTGTGATTCTGCAACCATGAAGAACACGTCTTCATTAAGGATCAGTTATTTATTTCATCTTACTGGTTGCATCTGTCTGCATCCCTCATTTCTTAGCCACAGAGAAATTTGGATTCAAATGCCTATAACAGCCTAAAGACCATTACATGTTAGCATAAACATTGGCTTTAGAGAAATGCAAACTCCTACATAATATAATAATAAATGAATGAAGGGCTCTAACTCAACTAAGATACCACAAAGGGAAAACGAGGCATTTTCCATACGGTTTGTATTTTTTTGCTCTGAATATGAAACCTGTCTTTACATACTCGTAAAATGCCACGTTGCCACTTCAGCATCTGTTCTCCTGAGAGGGAAAAGGACTAGTCCAAAGATATGACAGAAACTTTCTGCTCTGCTTTTAGACAACCCCTTCACCCTTTCATGTAGGAGGATAACCCAAAGTGAAAAAGAAAGAGGTAGGTAGGAGGGACCAGAATAAGTACACACCACCTCATGTTCATTTTGGCAAAGGGAACCTAACTCCCACAAAGGAGCCCAAAGAAAGGCTAAGGATGTATTTTAATGCAGGACAAGGATTCCACAGAGCAAGGAAGTGTATCTATCTACTGCAGTTACATTTATTCATCATGGCTGTCAATCCCTCCATCCTTAACGTTTCGCTGTGGATGGCAAGGCCCCCACTCCTTTCTTCTTAGCAGCCTTTTCCATTTTAAGCTGTAAACAAAAACATTGACACGATCATATTGTAGAGAGATAATTCAAAGATCAACTGACATCTAACTTTCATTAGCTTATTATTTTATGAAAAGTCAGAGTAATTGCTGACACTGACCTGCTGACTGTTGAGAAACCCCAAACTTCCCAAAAGTCAGAAGTAACTGGGGAGAACACTGCATATTAATAACTAAGTGCACATGAAGACTGAAATCTCTTCGATGATATCACACTTTTTAATGGAGAATCTATGGCGAGTTAAGGACATTCATTTGCCATAAATACTTTTAAAATTTCTCCAGCTGCTGACTCTACCACCCTGTCCCTGTCCTCAGGACAGAACCTCAATTCCCACATTTGCCAAGAAAACTGAGACCTCCATCCATTGGCACCTCCCTCTTCACTCCAATGCAGTTCCAAACACCATCCTCGTCCTCATGCCCCCTCCTCACCTCAGTGCTACTCGATGCCTAATTATGTGCTAGGCCCTTTCAAGACCTCCTATGTGCATAGGATGACAAAACCCAGACCCTCTAAGTCTCTAAGAGCTGTTATGGCTTCTTGTCAAAGCTGCCCCCTCCACTGTGTCCTTCATCCAATCCCCTCCTGCTTGTTCCAGGACTCTGTCCCTTTGCTTATCTTCTCCCTTCTGACTCTTCGTGCCTCAGCTGCCTTCTCACCCTGGCCCATCCCTCTGCCACGCTAGGCTCCTTCTCCCATAGGAAGATCCTTCTAGGGGCTGCCATTTTGGGAACAGGTCCAGGCCCAAGCTAGCCAGGCTTCATTCCTGTCCTGGCTATACTTCTGACTCTGGACGTGGCCACCACTGTACCTGCTAATGCTTCTCTTCCCACTTCCACCAATTTTCACACGTTCCAGTCTCCCTTTAGGCAGGGACTCTCCTTTTATTTTTGTATCCCAGAGCTTAGCACAGTAAACACTTGATAAATGCCCCCTGCCTGCCTGCCCCCTCTCTTTAACATTCAATCTCTCCTGTCTACTGAATCGCTTCCTTTTGGATGACATTCTTCAATCTCCAGTCCATTCTCCACGCAGCTGCCAACTTGGTATTTTTAAAGTACACAGCTGACCATGTTAGTCCCCAGCTCTAGAAACCTCAGTGAATAAGGTATAGCTAACCTTCCTTGGGCACTTCAAGCTCTTCACCACTTCAGAAGCCAGGCTTTCAGAATGACTGTTTTACACCATTCCCCCTGGACCACTTGAAGGCCCAGCCATGCTGGCCATGTCCCCTCACCCCCACGTTCTGCACAGGCTGGCTGTCTCCATAGTGCAATGCCTCTCAGCACCACCTCTGGGGATCCCTCAGAGCTGAAGCATCACTTCCTATACAATTCATCAAATGGGTATTAAGTGCCTACCATGTGCCAAGCTTTGTGCTCTGCCCTGGGGTATAAAGACAATAAATGAGACAGCTCCTACTCAAAAGGGCTTTCCCTGAAGCTCCAAATTGTCAGGGGGTTCCCCTACCACCCCCTAAAATTTTAATTAACTTTTTACATATTTTTAATAGATTTATCTGTATATGTGTATATATATATGTTGTACCTTTCCACCACCACCATCACCCCTTTAGAATATAAACTTCCTGAGGGCAGGAATTTGTTATTCCTGTATCCTCAGGGCCTGGCACATAGTGGATATTAATAAACATTTGTAGAATTGAACTGAATTATGGAATCTTTATTCTCCAAAGTGCATCACATGTTTGTTTCTATGCCTAAAACAGACCTGTTTCTGCTTGTGAAGGAGGGCTTGTTCTCCTAACATCTGTTCCTCCCTCACTGACTTTCTGGTTCTCATTACCCTCTGCCATCTCCCTCAGATCCCATCTCTCTTCAGAGCATCCAGAAGTAGACAAGTACATGAGGAAAATGAGGCCACACAGGCTGTACCTCTCAGAGTCAGAATTTGAACCCAGGTCCTCTGCCTCCAAATCTGGCACAATCTTCTCTTCCTCGTGCCCCATGACTACCCAGTTTCTACCTGGGTAGGTAGTGAGGAACAACACAGATTCATAGTATTCAAGTAAAATTAACCACCAGGAACTTGGCCTTCTGGGTCCTGCTCAATCCCTAATTATGCCATCCAAGCTTCCTTTGCCACCCGTCACTCTGACCACTCTGTCCTATGCACCAGTGGCTTTCACCAGTCCACCTCCCACAGACCTGTTCCAGGAGATTTTGTCTTCCTAGGAACCCTGGAAGGTGGGTTCTCCTAGAGGAGCTTTCCCACCTGAACTGGCCCAGAACCAGGTCCCAGCACAGGTCTCTCCCCAGCCATCTCCACCTGCTAACCCTCCAGGGTTTGTATTCCCCCATTATAATGTACCCTCCTGAAGGGCCTTGTTTTCCTGTCATTTTGTACCGCGCCTAGCCCACTGTGATGTCTCTCTGTCTCCCTATAATTCATACACCTTCTTATCAGGACAACCCATCCCACAGCTTACTTTTACTCCCTAGCCCACCACTCTCCAAAGTCAAGTTTATTCAGTGCCTCTGAGAATGACTGTGCTTCCTTCTACACCTCCATTCACTCAACAAATACCTGTAAGGCACCATGCCAGGAGCTGAAGACCCTGGATGCAAAGGCAGAAGAAACAGTCTCTGCTCCAAAAGAGATTGTGACCAATGATTATGTTGAGATGATCTCCAAAAAAAAAGACTGAAAGGGGGAGAAAGAGGAAGGGAGAGGTAGAACGGGGCAAATTTTCTCACATAAAGATGGAGCACAAGGAAGAGCTTTTATAGTGGAAAGGCAAATGGCGAGGTGGCTGGCGATGGCTCAAAGAGGGAAGAATGTACACACGCTCAGTGGGGCGTAGAAGTCTATCTTACCCAAAAGGGAGATGGGAAGTGAAGGGGAATAATAGTTGGGAGCCGGGAGAAAAACAACGGGGAGGGAAGATTGGGGGGAGGCAGTGGTCAGAGGAAAGACAGACTTTTAAGGAGGTACAGGATAAAAAGAGAGAAAGATAAATAGAGAAAAATGGGATGGAGGGAAATGCACAGTGAGTGATCCTAACTGTGAACATAAGTGGCACGAACTCACCCAAAGAATGGAAGTGGACAGCAGAATGGATTAGAAACTAGAATCCAACTGTAGGTTGTGGACAACAGACATGACTGGGAGAGAAAGACAGACACAGGGCGGGAGCAGAGGCTGTTAGGCTTCAGCTGAAGTGAAGAGAGCAGGGTGGCCATCAGGATTTCAGACAAAACAAAAGCAAATCAGACCTAATTAAAAGACATAATCAGAGAAACTATATTTCGATAAAAGTTACCACAGACAATGAAGTAGTATCAAAAAATTTTACAGCAAGTTTCTCTCATAAAGGCCTCATTTCTCAATATATATGTGGAACCAAGTCAAGTTTATAAAAAACAGCCATTCCCCGGTTGATAAATGGTCAAAGGATATGAACAGACAGTCTTCAGAAGAAGTCAAAGCCATCTAGAGTCATATTAAAAATGCTCTAAATCACTACTGATTAGATAAGGCAGATTAAAACAACTCTAAGGTACCACCTCACACCTATCAGAAATGACAAATGCTGGAGGGAAGGAGGGAAAATAAGTATATTAATGAACTGTTGGTAGAGCAGTGAACTGGTCCAACCATTCTGGAGAACAATATGAAACTATGCCCGGAGGGCTAGAGAACTGTGCATACATACCCTTTGATTCAGCAATGCAAAGATCAAAGAAAAAGTAAAGGGACCTATTTGCAGCAGTTTTTTATGGTGGCAAAGAATTGGAAATTGAGAGGATGCCCATCAATTGGGGAATGGCTGAACAAGTTGTGGTATATGATTATGATAGAATACCATTGTGCTGTAAGAAACAACAAGGGAGTGGTTTCAGAAAAAACATGGCAAGACCTATATGAACAGATGGGAAATGAAGTGAGAAGAACCAGGAGACCATTGTGCACACTAACAGCAATGTTGTAGTGATGACCAACTGTGAAAGATTTGGTTTCTCCAATCAATACAATGATCCAAGACAATTCCAAAGGACTCATGACGAAAAAAGTGCTATCCCCCTCCAGAGAGAGAACTGATGAACTCTGAGTGCAAACTGAAGTATGATTTTCTCAATTTCTTCTTTTTGCTTTTTTTTTTTGCAATATGGCTAATATGGAAATACATTTTGCATGATTTCACATGTACAATTGATATATTATTTCCTTCTTGGTGGGTGGGGAAGTGATGGGAGGGAGAAAATCAGGAACACAAAATTTAAAAAGAAAAGAATGTTAAAAAGAAAGAAAAAGATTGTGACTCAACTGGGAAGGCCTGAAACAACCGCAGACTTCCAAGGCACATGAGTCTCTGACCCTGTACTGTATGCCTGGGATACTTCCCAGGCGTATCCCCACAGGCCACTGTCCTCCATCTAGCAAAAAGGGTTATGTGACCTTGATGAAGCAACCCTGAGCTAATCATAGGTACCTACCTTTCCCAAGGCCAAGTCTCCTGAGACATGGATCTCTCACGAACCAACACATCTGATGTGTGTATAAAAACATCCATTCATGATTAGCAGATTACTAAATCATACCTATATTAACAATATGGTTCTCACTCTGTAAAAAGTTACATGACTGAAGGCTTTCTTAATCAAAATTCTAAGTATCATCAAAATGATGTTTTCTGAGCCTAACAAAATCATGTGTGCTTTTGTTCTGCTCTCTGCAGAGCCTCTAGAAATTAACTGTGGCCATGTGCCTTCATCAGTGCTGTATTATGGCTTTTGTTCTAGGTGATGCTTAGTGCCAAATCCCAAGCAAGAAGAGACCTAGCATGTACTTTTCAACGTCACCCTGTAAAGGCAGTGCATAAACAGTTTGAGTGATTTCATGACAAGTAAATGCTTAACAAAAGCATTGGGGAAAAAAAAGTTTCCTCTTTACCCTTTCCTGGTAATGCCTTTCAAAGTAAGCCATGTCGTCTTCATCAGGTCTCCTTAAGGAAGATGCTTGATTACTTGTACCTAAAAATGTTTTTTAAAAAGATTAATCTAAACATGTAAAAGTTATTTTATACATTTTGAAAATAGTAGTAAGTATTTAAACCCTCTAGAAAGCTTCCATTTCTTTTATCTTGTTTTAGACAAAAGATTAAAATACAAAGCATACTACCCTGATAGTATGTGCTAGGAGATAACAGTTACATAGGATAACCGGATAACAGTTTGATTTTTCTTGCCTACCTTTGATTTCTAAAACATGAAGTGTTGTGAACCCCCCATATAATCACTGGGGAACTGAATATCACTGGGCTCCATTCCCTTTGGAAGGGCACAAAGGACATGAGGTTCTCTAACCTGAATTCAGAAAACCACAGGATATGATTTTATGTCCCTTCCAATTCAGCTGAAACAAAGGCTGACATAAAATGGGAGATCCAGAATCAGCCACCCCAAAGATGGCCCCCTCTAGCTCTATCTTTTCAAAGCTCATGAAGCTTCTTAATTTTCTCCATGGTCTGGCCAAACTAAAATGAACAAATAAAATCTATTGAAAACCAAACACATCTAGATACTACAAGTAGACGGGCACTTAGGAAAGTGAATCCTGGCAACCTTCTCTGGATTCTGACTTGAAATAAAAATTCTCTCTTAAGTTAACTGCATTACCACCTATTTGCCTACCTTGAGCAGAACTAGACGGCTCTTGAAATGCTCTTAGGAACGGGTGGTCTGCAGCAGCAATCGGAGATTCTAAAATCTCAAGTGGAGGTGCACCTAAGTAGAAAAACGATATGAGTAGAAAAGTGAAATTGCCCTTTTAAGGATACCAACAAGATGTAGGCCAGCAGCATCCCAGGATCTCAACCCTGGAAGAGACCTCAAAGGCCATCTCAGCCAATTCACACCCAAAGCCGTGGTCCCCTCGAGAACAACCCCACCCTCTGCTTAAAGGGCCTCCAGGAATGAGACGCCCCCCCACCACCTCACAGGCAGTGCATTCCATTTCTGGAAAGCTCTGATTATGAGGCTGTTTTTTCCTTGCATTTCGAGAGGGAAATGGCTGAGAAAACCCCAAATGGGGTCACTGAGTCAGACAGAATTGAACAACTCAATGATCAGTTTTCCTTACATGGAGCCTAAAGAGGCCCCTGGGGCCAAAGAGAGTAAGTGTAATCCCTCCTATGCATGCCCACCCTTCACAAACTTGAAACTAGCTTTAATGTCCACCCCTAAGTGTTCTCTTCTCCAGGATAAACACCCCCTGTTTCTTCAACCAATCCCCCTCTAGCATAATCTCCAGTCTCTTCACCATCCTTGGTACTTCCTCACCCAAAGTAATTCAGTTAAAATGCATTTAATAAAATAATTACCAAAATTCTCTGTATTAAAAAGTTTAAGAGTATTCACCTCATTACAGGGAGCATCCATCTTGTGAAATATATGATGGGTGAACAAGCATGAGATAGAAAAAATAAAAGTCACAGAAGTCTCTAGTGATTCATAGGAGACAGAAGGAATGAGGCTCATGAGCTCTGTCTACCCCAAAATGCCCAGAGTATGGCTAATAAACGAAGTGAACTAAGGAGTATTCATGTAAGGAGACAGATACTGCAGAGATACCCCAGCTTGAAGGGCAGTCCCACCCAATAGCAGCCGGCATCCAGATAGGTGGCACCAGAAGGTCTGAAAGCACATTCCATATGTCACTTCCTTTGATCTCCTCCTAACCCCCCTTGCCAGTACCAGAGGTATTTCTAGCCCCATCTGACCAGGAAACTAGGTGGCCCCCATTCACGCAGGAAGTATTGGCAGACAGCATTGGAAACTAATTTTCTCTTATTACTGAGTCCAGTGAGAGCAAGAGGAGGAGGATGAAAGACCTAGAGCCACTGCCCCAGTGGAGAAGTGAGAGAAGGCAGCTCCTATTTTTTGTGTTTTCTCTACCAAGAAGAATGCTCCCTGGGCCAGAAAGGACAGAGTAAAAATGTTTGCTGGCTTCCAGGGCAAGACGAAGCATTAGACTGAGATGATACTGGCAGCCTTCTTGCATGGTTAATGGAAATCAGTCTCATTTTTTAAATAAATAGCTCCTAGGTAAGGCTCTTCTATCCCAACATGACCCAACCTCCCAATGCTGAAAGGGGAAAGGCATTAAAAATGGTCAGGGGAAAGAGACAAGGCTGCTCATGTGTTTACTCTGTGTGATCTTCACAGAAGATACAAGAGGAACCCATAGATTAAAAAGGAATAATCAGATGAGAACGAAAACAATTCTAGCATATACGCCCAACGTCACTCTCACCAGAACAAGAAAATAAGGGCAGCAAATGGGATGCAAAAAGAATGCCCAAGAAGTGAGGACAACATTCAAGTCAGAGAAACAGAGAGAAAAGTACATTTAACTAAGTCGAAAGTGTAAAAACCAAATCAATCAGTGAGAATCCTTGTCACATGCCATAGATGAAGAAGAATACGCAAACATAAATTAGAAAGGGACAATAAAGAAGATAAGAGAGAATATGCTGGAAGTTATTATAAAACCGGGCAAGCCAGACTAAACAGCTACCACTTTCCTCCACCATTAGTGATCAATGGCTCCACTGCCCAGGTGGGCCACAGCCAATACTCGTGATCTCTGTGTGTGTGGCCAGAAAAAGCATTAAGGAAAACTCTGAAAGCAATTCACGGACAGACCACTGGAGGAAGAAAGGGCAGCCAGAGACAGTGCCTAACTGTTCACGTTTGAAAATTCTAGCTCAACATGAAGGATGAGGAGGAAAGTCCCATCAGGACACATGTTCCTTCTGCCCTTGCTAAAAGCTTTCACAAAAGACTTTCTGCACCAGAAAGGGGTGATCTACAAAAAATACACAGGGAAGAAGATGAAGAATGAGGCTAGAGGAAGGAAAAGCAGGAAGTGCCTACAAAGAAATCTCAAAGGAAGTATACACCCATAAGCATAAGAATTGATGGGCCTGAGTATGAGGGCCTTTTGCTTTTCATCTGTGAGTCTTCAGAAGACAGAACTAGTTCAAAGCAGGCATTTCAGATGGATCGTGTAAATAATAAGGTGCTGGTTCAAATCAGGCCACCGAAGCATCAAGTGTGTGCACATCATGGCACGTCTTTCCTGGACCAAGGGAAGAGAAAGAGGCCAAGAGCTTTCTTGCCCAAGAGAAGGAGGTACGGAGTCAGATACTGAGGCAACTGAGGCCACAGCCTCTGCCATGGGGACGAGTCAGCTAAGAGTAATCCTGGGCGTCCCAAGGAGGGGCTTGAAGGAGAGGGGGAAGGAACAAAGACGGCCCTCCCAATTGGGGTCAAAGGCTGGCCAAGCAGCTAAAGCTTAAACATGCACCAAAGGAAGAAACGGTGACAAAGACAACCTGGACCAAGGGGCGAGTGAAGCAGATCCGGGGCAGTGCCTGCAGGGTTCAGAAGGAAAGGATCAGCAGGTACACATGGGTGATTTCACCACATTCCCTCTACTCGGGCACCTTCTGGGCCCAGAGAGATGAAACCCTGTGCAGAGCCCCCAGCGGGGCTGTGCCAGAGGCAGGACAAAGGCCAGGGCTACCCTTCTCCGAGGCCCCTCTGTGGCCAGCAGACAGCATAACTTGATGCCATGTTTGGGGAGGTTGTATTTGATTGGCTAGTGAGAAAAGAGCTGTAAATATGATCATGTGAGCATGTTCTTTATCATACAAGTCCCATGATAATCAAACCAATGTTGGAAGGGAAGCCAGCAGGGCCAGGCCACCAGGATGGCTGGTCCTTGACCAACAACGCCGTAAAAACCAATGCAGCAAGCAGCCCTGCTGTGGGCCAGGGCCCCGCTACCAAACAGCCCCTCCTGCTCTCCCTGGCAGCCGTGGGCAGCCGCTGGTCGCACCTCGACACACTGGGGGTCTTCCCCTTTTTTGGCAGACTCTCCAAAGAGAGGTACGAAATAAAGGTGACCAAAAAACCACAGATGGCACCCCAAATGTTCCTCAGTAAAGAAACGTGACCCACCATAAGACAAAACGAGGTGTGCTGAGGAGGATTTCACACACCAATATCTCAGCCCTCTTCCCCCGATGGTCACCCACCTATTCCGCTGTCATCTAGTCTCATGTAGCCTTCTGCTAGTGAACTAAAGCCCGTCAATCCTCCCACTGCAGCATAAGGAACGTCCCGTCCCACAGGCTTTCCCAGGGCCAGCCTCTCTTCTTTAGTTTCTACCACCGTCTCGTGGGTATATGCAGGATGACCACAACTACAAGTAAAGTAGCTATGAAACCCTGGGCATTTGTTACCTGCATAAAATCACAGAAAAAAGGAACATTTGTCAACATCTGTAAGTTAGTGTCTTAAACATGGCAAAGCGGGACAGGGGGCTCTTCCTGTTCCCTTTACTATCCAGGATACGCTTTGGTCTCAGGCCCTCCCAACTCCAGGCCCTCGGCCCATTCCAGGCTCTAGCTATTACTTCTAGAAACTCCAAGAGTGTCTGATAATACAAGTAAGGGCATAAAGCAACAAGAAACATCCAGGAAAAATAACTGAGGCAAAAGGACTGCAGCACAGCAAATGGGAAAGAATGCTCTAGAAACCAGGAGGAAATAGTAAGGCACAGTGGACAAATTGCTGGGCTTGGAACCAGAAAGACCTGAGTTCAAATCCTACTCTGGGCACTCTCAGCCTCAGTCCCCTCATCTGTAAGTGAGGACAATCATGCTTGTAGCACCTTTGGAGTGGAGCTGTGGTAATATAATCTATGCAAAGTGCTCTTACAACTTCAAAGTCTCTATATGTCAACCATGATTAGTAAACCATTGATGTGAGCACCTATTTACCCTTGGGAGTTAGGAGCAGATGAGAGGAACAATGGACAGAGAACTGCGGAAATAAAAAGGAATAATATACTTCCATTTTCCCTCAAGACCCAAGTAGAAAGTGTCCCAAAAGTCTTAGTGCAGCTTTAAGCTAATAAGCTGAGGGATCAATTCCAAGAGATAGTATGCTTAATGAAAACTCAAGCCACCCATACACACACATGGAAAGTAGGGGGTACAGCTAGGCTTTGCCTATTTGCATAACAGAGCACAGATTTACCCTTAAAAGTCATCAAAGACTCATTCTATTAAAAACATCATTCTAAACTGCTCTAATACACAATAAGATTTCAACTTAAATTATTTTAAAAATAACTGAAATGGCTTAATATGTATAACCTAGAAAATCAGATATATAGCTTTCATTTTTATATTCATTCTATCTAAATTATAATTTCTCCCAAAGGATGTATTTTATTCAGGATAATATACACTATTTGTCACATACTGTGTTGTACCAGCAAATAAAGCTGCCTCAAATTCTTTTGGGGGCACAGCTGGAGTATAAATAAGTAGAATCTAAAACACTAGTGCTTACAAATACCAGGACTAACTTTTATGGTGCCTACTGTAAACAGTGTCTACAAATGACCTCCCAGTAATATGCATTAGTGGTGCATAATTTAAGTGATTAAATTCCCACTAAAAATTTTTCAATAAACCCAAAGAACAATTACAACATAAACTCTATGGCTATTAGTAAAATTACTGATTTACAGCATCTAACGTTGCTGCTTATGATGCCAGCAAAGAAGAATATAATTAGGGCAATTCCTTAAAAAAAAACTGGTACCAACATTCACTGCTCATCATAATTTCTTCTTTGTTGAATAACCCAGTAAGTGGTTCAAATCCATGCAAAGAAAAACTACAAATGGTTGCCTAACACAGAAATGCCCCAGTTCTGCCTCTGCACCCAGAGAAACCTGCCTTCACTTACACGTCCTGCAAACCCGATTTGGGTCTGCGTTGTGTTGGTCAGCAAAATGCTTACACTTGCACCGAACTGGTCGACATCCACTTATAGGCACATAGTAGAAGGAGGTGCAGGGGCACTGGTTCACTTTGCAGGGCAGGGAAATTGGGCGTTCTGGTGGGATCACTTCCAAGTCAGTTTTATGTTGTCTATACCTGAAAAGAAGATTGAAACAAACCAAAGGAGACAGTGAATAAGCACAGGGCGGCCCAAATTTACCAGGATTTCCGTCTTTTAAAATCCTTCAAAAACAGTTAGCCAAGTGAACCTCAGCAGACATGAAGAGTCTACATGAACCCATCAACTGAAGAACAGCTAAACATGGTACATGCCTATAATGGGGCAAGATGATGTTGCCCCAAATGGTGAATGTGATGAAGGCAGAGAACCACAGAAAGAGCTACATGAACTGATGCAGAGAAGGAGGGAGGGCTGAGAAACCATGCAGACACAATGACTCTGACATTGTCAATGGAAAGAATGACCTAACAAACAATCGAAGGTGAGTATCACAAAATTAGCAAAATCAAGCAGGACTCAAGAGACACAAGAGGACACCCGTTTGTGGAGGTGGGAGGGCCACACGTGCTACACATCGAACGTTTTCCAACTTTTTCAATGGATTGATTAGTTGCACTGATTTTTTTTTCCTCTTAAAAAAAATACTATTTAGGGGCAGTTAGGTGGCACAGTGGATAAAGCTGTGGCCTTGAAGTCAGGAGGACCTGAGTTCAAATCCGACCTCAGACACTTGACATTTAATAGCTGTGTGTCCCTGGGCAAGTCACTTAACTCCGATTGCCTCACTAAAAAGAGAAAAACAAAAAACAAACAAAACAATAGGATGGTTTTCTGGGAGGGGGAGGGGAAAGAACATCGGGGAAAACTATGATGATGTAAGAAAACAAAAACATCAATAAAAACTTATTTTAAAAAAAGTTCACATCAATTCTTGTGTTTTGGTAGGAGAATGAAATGAAGTATCGTTACTAATACCTCCCATCCTTGGTTACACCATCCTCCTCAAACAGGAGCTTGCCTTCTCTTTTAAATGTGTTTAAATGTGTTTGTGGTATTCGTTCTGCTTCCTCAGAAGTCAAGGAAAGCCACGCGTTCATTAGGCAACACAGTCTATTTAAAATGACGATAACGAGAGAATCATGCTGGGGACTTCCCCACCAGACACATCAGGAGTATGGTGTGCACGTCCATTTTAGAAGGCTGGAGAGGATCTAGGTGAGGGCATTCAGAAAGAAAAAGGCCTCTGAATCACAGCATGGGAGCAAGAAGACACGCCGAGACTTGGAGGGACAAGGGAGGTGCCCTCCGGTATTTGGAAGGCTGCAGAGGAGAAGAGGGCCTGACCCCATAGGGTGTGATGAGGTGTCATCGATGGAAGCTACACTCGGGTAAACTTGGCTCAATGTCACAGCAACTCAGAGCCAGGTAAAATGGTAAGATCTTCAAAGCACAGTGTGAACACTTCCCTAACAGTGAGAGCAGCCTGGATGTGGAAAGAGCCGCCTCAGGATATAGCAGGATGGAACCCCTTCGGCGGAGGCGGAAGAGGGCTTACCAGGCTGAATAACCAACCACGAGAGCCTCTACAGAGGGGCTTCTGAAATCCTACTGCCTGATGGTCTCATCAAGGCCATTATTAAGGTCAGATAACCCTCAAAAACTAAATTGGGTCACATCCAGCATCAGTCAGAAAGTTCTCTCCAGATATGCAAATCACACCCTATCTGGGCCTGCCCATCCTGTTCTGCTCCCCAAAGCAGGCTCAATGTAAGGGAGGGCTTCCTTACCTCCTCCTGACATCCTAAGGGAACCAAAGGATCACTCTAGCTGCCCCTGACATCCTTCACTCTTGCCACATGACCAGCCCATCTTCTCTCCCTGCCTTCCAATTCCTTGAGGACATCTTTTGCTTCTATTCCTCAGACTTCTTCATCAGAGTTCCTCCCCAGTGACATGTCACCCCTGCTCACACCAACCATGGGCCTCTCTATTGCCTTCTGTAGGAAATTAACTTTTAATTCCTCAGAGACTGTTGTGTTCCACATCTTGCTGCCATACAGAAACACCAATAGAATGGTGGAATGCACACAAAATAATAAATATAAAATAATTTAGATTTAGTGTTGAAATGCCAGCAAAAAAGAAGTTACATGTTCAGGCACAGATTTCCATATATGACTGCCTTTCCTGGATTGCTATGATGTGGGAAAGGGAAAATTAACTCCTAAATAACAAAGCTGATAACACTTCATAAAACATAAGACATTGTTTCAGAAGAAAGTCAAGTTTGAACAGGTGAATGTGAGACTACTGAAAATTCCCAATGAAGGAAAGACCCAGCTAAAAGCGAAAGCACATGAAAGCCTCACTACTGCTGAGCCTTCATGTGGTAGGCAAAAGAAAGGAGTTACTTTAAACATTTTTAAGCTCAAATAATAGACAAGTAACTCTTCAATTATTCTATCTAATAAAGGGAATAAGGTTAACAAATCTGCTCATTGAAATCCCTCCGGAAAAACTAGAATTTCATTAACAGAACCTTTTGACCTCAACAGTACCATGTCTAAGCAAATTAGGCCCAATACATCAAGCATAAACATATCTCTCACTGTGTATTTATCAAGGATCAAAGTACCAAAAAATATTATTTGGTGGAAATTTGAATCCAAACACAAACATGTTACTAGATGACTTCCTTGCAAGGAAAATTTGGTTCTAACAAAATCATCTATTTACCCAAAGGAGGTCATACATATAGAGAGAGGAGATACAACAGATCAATCAATCAAGTTTGTTAAGCACCTACTATGTACCAGGCACTGTGCTAGGTGTTGCATATATAGTTATTAAAAAATGAAATAAAAAATAAAAATGAAACAGTGCCTGCCCTCAAGAAGCTTGCATTCTACTGGGAGGAACAGCTGTGCAAAGCTACATGTTACACAATATATACAATTTACCATGTACCAAGTAATTTCAGTTAGGGGATAAGGTCTGGAAGGTTAGACCCTGCTGAAGCTGAAGCCAGAAGCAAGCTCAGGATTCCAAGAAGTGGAAGAGAGCAGGGAGAAAACCTGAGGGAAGCCGGTGGAATCTTGGGCACAGGGAGCAGGAATCGAGCCGGTGTGGCTGGAACGCAGAGTGTTCTCCTCCTGGTCACAGCCAAATGCTTAGAAAGGGACGGTGACCGCTAGCTCCACTCTGTCACTTCTCAATCTCTCCTCCATCTTTTATGAGCTGCCTTCCGATCCCACCACTTACCAGAAACTGTTCTCTTCAAGAGAACCGATTATGTCTTGACTGATAATGTCGATGGCCCTTTCTCTGCACTCGTTCACTCGTTCTGCTCGACCCTTCTGCAGCTGGGGACTACATTCATCACTCGCTCCTCCTGGGAACTCTACTCTCCCACGGCTTCTATGACACTCTTCTCTCTTGGTTTCTTCTTAACTGCCGGCTCATCCCTTCCCAGGCTTTTTAGCTACATAATCATTCTCCTCCCCTCTAATAAATGTGGACGTCCCCCAAGGTTCTATTCTCCTCTGTCCACAGTCTCTCCCTTGGTGATTTCATCAGCTCTCGTGAGTTCAATGATCATCTCTCTACTGCCTGCTGGACAGCTCCGCCTCAATGCCCTAGAAGTATCTCAAATTCAACATATTCAAAACAGAACTCACTATATTTTCCCCAAAACCCATTCCTCTTCCAGATGTGCCCATTTCTCTTGGGGAAACTACCATTCTTCCTATCACGTTGTTGTCATCCATGACCCTTTCCTCTCCCTCACTCTCCATATCTAATCAGTTGCCGAGGCTTGTCGACTGCTGTATGTCAGGTAAGGCCTCCCGTAGGAATTGGCACATAATCTGAATTTCACATTATAACAAACATCATGGAGCATATTCATCCATCTTTAGTTCAACTACGGCATCTGCTAGTGGATTGTTTTATTATAGTTTCACATTTTCTAGTCATCAGTAGAAAACTTAACATAATACCTTACCTGTGTGTACAAAAACACTGAGTTTCTGGGCCAATAAGCTTACAGTCTATGCCCAGGGGCGATCGCCAGCTCACAAATAATCTGTTCCGTAATCGCATTGGTAAAATTTTACTTTTGTACTCTTCATATTCTTCAGGGGTGAAAAGTTTCCCTCCATCATCCTCACCAACAATTCTACAACAAAATTCATTTTTTATAAGTTTGGGGTATTTGTTTTTCAGAGAAAGACAAATTCAAATATAAAACTCAACATTCCTGAAATAGATTGCACAGTCAAGGAAAGATTCAACTTTTGTCTTTTGTGTTAATCAATCAGTGAGCAATTCTGAAGCTCCTGAATGTGTCAGACTCCACACCCATAATCAACATCACTTTAGCAACAACACAGCAGTAACAGTTGCAAGGGATGGTTCCCAAAATCTCTGGTTCATATATAAAAGCCTGGAAATGAAGCGATCAATAAATGAATAAATCCAGAGAGAGATGGAAATGAATCTGGTTCACAAGACTATAGCCCATCGTTTATTACATATTCATCTGGATTTTCTCCTCTTTCTGAAGCCAACTAAAGCGCATTCTGTATCTCTTTACCCCCTCCAGGATTAGCCCAAAGGGGCAGGTCTGAAATGCCAAGGCATATATCATTCCAAAACCACGAAAATGCTCACTAGTGCACACAGGTGACTCCGGCCCCCAGCCAGGGCTACTAGAGACACCCCCATGGAAAGCACCTGCTCCCAGCCATAGAGAGAGGCAGCACGCAGGCTAGGAGTCAGCAAGACCTACGTTCAAATCTTCCTTCCGACCCTGACGAGCTGTGACCTTCTGGCCCAGTCACCTGACTTGCCCCATCTGTAAGACTGGGGGTAACAACACCTCTAGTACCTGCTTCTCAGTACTGTTGCTCATGAGGCTCAGATGAAATCACGTGTAGCTGAAGAGCCTGGCAAACTTTAGGGCACACTGTCATCGCTAATTGTTATTGTGCTTAGTTTACATAAGCCCCCAACGCTACCGATTAAAACAAGGCTGACTATCTGAACAACAATAAAAATGTTAAAAGTAGGCTAAACCTTCAAAGTGTCATACAAAAACTAGAGGAAGGAAAAGGAAAAGATAAGGAGTCAAAAGTGAAAGCTTTTCTCTTTGAATTTTTGCCTCTACAATGACATCCGGTATCTGCTCCATAATTTCCCATGTCCCACTTTTCCTCCTACATAGTATGATTATCTTTTAGCCTCTAGGATTTCCAAATCAACTGATAGCAGGTTAGGGGTGAAGGAGAGGCACACCAATAAATCATCCTAAGACCACTCCTCTTCTATGGACAAATCAAACTTAATTTTAAAAATTATAGTGCTTTGTACTATTAAAACGTTTCTAAGCTTTTTAATCAGTTTAATGGCATGAATATGATCACAATCATATTGTTATACCAAGGTATTCATTTCTCTAGTAGATGCATTCTCAAATGAATGGAAGGAGGGAAGGAGGGAGGGAGGGAGAGAGGAAGGAACAAAGGAAGGGAGAGAGGAAGGGAGGGAGGAAGGAACGAAGGAAGGAAGGAACAAAGGAATGAACAAAGGAAGGAAGGAAGGAAGGAAAAAGGGAGGGAGGGAGGAAGAAACGAAGGAGGGGAGGGAGGGAGGGAGGAACAAAGGGAGGGAGGAAGGAAGGAAATAAGTATTAAATGCCTACTATGTGCCAGGCACTATGCTAAGTACTTTTAACAAATGTCTCATTTGATCCTCACGGCAACGTTTTGGGTGGTATTATTATCATCCCCATTTTACAGCTAAAGAAACTGAGGCAAAGCGAGGTTAAGGGACTTGCCCAGGGTCTTACTTTGAGGACGAGTCTTCTTGAGTGCAGGCTAGTGCTCTATTCACTGTTCCACCTAGCTGCCCAAATAACAGAGGAATGAACGTGATGGTAGAATTTTGGTCTTCAGATGTGAGAGTCACTGGAAAGGGCAAGGACTGTCAGTACCTCTAAAATCACAACAGACAGTGACCAAATACGATCCTAAGCCAAAGGCTGTCACAGGACAGTATCCAGAGTTCATTAGGCGTTAACATTATACATTAAGAGTTTATGTTTTAGGCTGAGGTTACGGCTCACTTATGAATCTGCTGGATTTAAGCATTTGTTGTGGGGGAAACCCACTAGCTGCCCTCCAGCTGATCCTACAGCAAGTACTTTTCTACACGGGTAGAAAAGTTAATCCCCTTTGGGCCGACCCCAAAGGTATACTGGGAGATTTTCAGGTAAGGGCATAATGAACCAATTGTCATTCAACCATGTCCCGACGCTCCGTGACGTTTTTTAGGGGTTTCCTTGGCAGAGAGACTGGAGTGTTTTGCCATTTCCTTCTCCAGCTTATTGTACAGATGGGGAAACCGGCAAGTACAGTGAAGTGACTTGCCCAGGGTCACAATCAGTGTCTAAAGCCAGGTGTGAACTCAGGAAGCTGAGTCTTCCTGACCCCAGGCCCAGTGCTCTATACACTGAGCCACCCCCCTACCCCTGGGAAGGAGAGCTAAGCTCAAACCCCACTTCTGGTGACTGCTCTTGTGACTCTCGGCAGATCTTTTCCCTTCAAAGGGCTTCCGGTCTTTTTCTCTAAAATGAGGCAGGTCAGAGGTGCCAGCTCGAGAGCTGGGACTGGAATGAACCTTCCCTAGGAGGGCCTTCCCGATTCCTCCAAGTTAGCGCCTCCCCCTGCCCAAATGACTATCCTGTGTCTTCACTCATCTGTGGCCACGTTGTTTCTCAATTCTTTCTATGTGCTGTTTTCCCTCGTTAGACTGTAAGCTCCTTGATGGCAGATACTGTCTTAAGCCCTTAGCAGAGAGGCTGGCACATAGTAGGTGCTTAATAAAATGTTTACTGACTCTGACTTTGACTCAAATAGAATAGAGCCTGTGGTATCCCGTTACTGTTCTGGGCTCTGGAAATACCAAGGCAAAAATGGAACAATCCCTGCCCTCAAGGAAGGCCAGTAAAAGAAGCCACTGGTTCTTGGGTCAGGAGACACAGATTCCAACCCCACCTCTTATCTTACTGCCTCTGTGACCCTGGGCTAGTCATTTCTCCCTTTTGGGACTCAGTTTCCCTGTATGTAAAACGAGGGCACTGAAGTGAATGGCTTCTCAGGGCCCTTCCCGCTTTGAATCTATGATCACTGTCCCTTCTCTCTGAGCCTCAGTTATCCCGTCTGTAAAATAAAGGAAGTGGCCTCTGAGCCCTTTCGAGCCCTAGATCTAACACCCTAGGTTACTTCCCCTTTCTGGGACTCAGTTTCCCCAGCTGCAAAAGTGTGGGGGTGCGATGTTACCTCTGAGGGCTTCAGCCTGAGGTGTCAGATTCGGGGCTTCCTCCCTGGAGTGACTTGGGACATGCTGTAGTTCAGCTCTAGGGTGCCTCAGTTCCCCCAGAGTAAAGAGGGATGGGGGTGGTCTCAGAGGGTGCCAATTCATAGTGCCAGATTCAGGGCTTCTTCCCTGGGTAACTCTGAGCATGCTGTCGCCCAGCCTTAGGCTGCCTCCGTTTCCCCAGCTGTAAAAGGAGGGCCAGACTCTGAGGCCCCGCCCAGCTCTGGGCTACCTCAGTTTCCCCGGCTGTAAAGTGGGAGGGACGGCCTCTGAGGTCCCGCCAGCTCCGGACTGCCTCCCGAGGTCCGGCTCCCGGCTGCCTCAGTTTCCCCGCTCCGCGCAGCGGGCGAGCCGCCCCTCACCTTCTGTACTCCAGGTACTCGTCCACGGCGGCGGCGGCCCCGGGGGACACGGTCAGCCGCTCCATGGCGGCCTCCCCGCGGCCGCGATCTCTCCGCCCTCTCGGCGCCGCCGCCGCGAACGGCTCGCCCCCACCCGAGCTAGGCTCCCGCCCGTTACCCCGGCGACGCGGGAGGCTCGTGCGGCCACGGCTCAGGGCTGCCTGGGGCTGCTTGGGGCCTCGCGCACGCGCGCGTGCTCACGGTCACGGTCACGGTCACGGCCACGGTCACGGTCACGCGGACGCTCCCGGGCGACTCCTCCAACCTAGGCTTCAGCGCTCATGCGCAGATGGGAAACTCGCTCCTCCCCTTCCCTCCCCCGCCGCGGTCCCGCGATACCCCAACAGGTGGATACCCCGCGGCAACTTTGTGTACACTTTGTATCCAATTTTGTCTCCCGGTGGCTACCCCGCCCCTTCACTGTTTTCTTTTTGTCTTTGAACTCCCAGTTACAGAACAGTGCCTGGCGCCCAATTAATGTTTCCTAAACCTGTCCTGTCGTATCTTTGGTTCTGCCCCTTCTGAGGCCTTGAGAGCCTGAAGGACTTGCCGGGGTCTGCTCTGAGAGCTTGCACATAGCTCTCATTATCATGCCTGCCTTAAACCATCTCAGTCATTTATTAAGCACCTACTACGTGCCAGGCACCGGCACGGGGGATACGAAGAGGCAAAAGACTGCCCCTGCCCTCGAGGAGCTCACAGTCTAATGGGTGAGATAACAAATATGCACAAACAAACTAGATAGGAAATAATGAGTGAAAAGAGGAGGCACAGGAATGAAAAGGCGTTGGGGAAGGCTTCCTGTAGAAGGCCGGGTTTAGTCAGGGAATCAATCCAGTAAGCAGAGATGAGGACCGAGAACATTCTAGGTATGGGGAACAGCCAGAGATAATGCCCAGAACTGATGGAGTATCTTGTTCACGGAACTTCGGAGCCCGGTGTTACTGGATTGAAGAGTACGTGTCAGATGTAAAAAGCCTGGAAATAGGGGTGGGAGTTTGGGAGGCTAGGTTATAAAGAGCTTGGAATGCCAAATAGAGAATTTTATATTTAGTCTTCGAGATGATAGGGAGCTATTAGAGTTTGGTGAGTAGGGAGGTTACATGATCAGAGGGACTTGAGGAAAATCACGTTCCTAGTGAATGGACAATGGATTGGAGTAGAGAGAGACGTAAATCGGGCAGACCCACTAGCAGCTGTTGCTGTAGTCCAGATGTGAGGTGACAAGGACCTGCACAGGGGTGGCAGGGTCAGAGGACAGAAGGGGGTCTACTCCAGAGGCAGCAACTTTGCAGAGGGTTAAAAGACGAGAGAAGCTGCAGAGGTGAAACAGACGAGAGAAGCTGCAGAGGTGAAACAGACGAGAGACGTTGCAGAGGTGAAATGGATCAGAGAGGTTGCAGAGGTGAAATGGATCAGAGAGGTTGCAGAGGTGAAATGGATGAGACATGTTGCAGAGGTAAAATCAACAAGCCTTGGCAACAATTCTATATGGGGAGTGAAAGATAAGGAGAAAATGTCAGTCTGGGGAATTGGTAAGATGGTGTTTTTTAGACTAAATAGCCCCAGTTCTTTCAATTCATCATCATATAACATGATCTCCAGTTCTCTTAGCAGCCTCATCACTCTCATATGGACTCTCATCAGTGTTACTCTGAAATGTGGAGCCATGTTCTGGATGTGCTAACATGGGTGGGATACAGCATAATGGCGCTATTGCCTCCATGGTCCTGGACACTATGATTCTCAGTGTAACCTAAGACAGAATTTGTTTCTCTGGCTGCCTAATAACACTGCTGATTCATTTGAGCTTAAAATCCACTAAGACCCTTGGATGTTTCTCACATTAACTATGGTCTACAGGCATACACACACACACACACACACACACACAAGCGCACTCTGGCCCACACCCACATTGCATATGTGAAGGCAGGTGTTGGACTTTACATTTACCTATTAAATTTGATCTTACTATTTTTGGTTCATTGTTCTACACATTTGAAATCTTTTTGAATACTGATTCCACCAAAGGGAGCTAGTCCTTTTTGCATCATTTGGTCCTTATTTGCCTTTTATGCCTTCATCAAAGTCACTGATAAACAGTTTTAAATGGCATAGGGCTAAGATAGATTCCCGGGGCCCTCCACTGGTATAGGTCACTTCATTAAAGGAAGGAAACTCCTAAAACCTTGGGATGGATAAATTTAAAACAAATAAGAAGGAATACTGTTTCACCTAGGCAAAGAAACTTACAGAACTCCCCAAAGTGGCACAGGCTAAAATTACATACTTCTTAAATGTATAAATTTTGCATATAACTCTATATGTACCAGAGCACCTCTCTTCATTTTTGGCCTTGTATTCCCAGAGCCTGTGCACATTTTAGGTGCTCAATAATTGTGTGTTGATTGATTGACTTTGATAAATGCATGGATGACTGAGTCATAATGAATTTCAAAGAGAAATATCCAGTCTTAGTGACATCAGAGAAAATAAACACATCTTTCTACAAAGCATATCTTAGTGCTTTTTTCAGAGACTATAGGTTTGACCCTGAGTAGTGATTTTTCTATTTAATTACAAGTTTATCTCTGAATCTCAGTTTCTCCAACAGTAGAGTAAGGGATAATGTCTACTACTATTATCTACCTTCTAGGAGGCTTAAGCACCCCAGTCATTTGCTTTCAAGCTGATCCATGTAAATTCTAGGTATCATCATCATTATCCACACCAAAGATTCATTCGGTGCATGTTATGTATGTACAGGACATTGTGCTAATCACTGGACACACAAAGAGATGCAAAACAGCCTCCTTCTGCCCTGAAGAGGCTCATATTCCATTTAAAAAGACAGCACAGATACATAAAATGAGAGGCAATACGGGAAATGAAAAAGGAAGGAAGCATCTGCTGTGGCCTATACAGAAAGCACCTTTTTTTCCCTCCTTCTCAGATTAAAAAAAAAATTAGAGAAAATGAATGCTCCAAGACTTAGAGGAAAATGGAGATGAGATGAAAGAAAAAAATATCAAAGGACAGAAAATTTTTCTGGTCCTACCCTAGGAAATTATATTTTATTAATAACAGTTTTCATACTAAGAGGCAGTGTGCTATAATAGATAAAGAGGCTGGGCTTGGAGACAAAGGCCTAAGTTCAAATCTATCAGCGTCACACAAAGCTGTATGAGCATGAGCTTCAGGGCCCTGGGCAAACCTGCCAAAACTGTAAATTACTAAGAAGCTGTGGATCTGTGTGGTGGGGGGAGATCCTTACAATCCTCAAACTACAGGACCCCCATAGCAAGTCGTGTCTTCTCTGGCATGTCCGGCAACTGAGTACCATGTCTGCACAATTCATCATCCTCTTGGTTAGCACACATAGCATTTTTAAAAATCATTTTTTGAATTCCATTGACCGGCACCCTCATTGGACACATGGATTACACATCACATTTCAAACAACTTTGTAGATTTATACTTGGACCAACGTAACCCCACCCTCTCCCCCAATCTTGTTTGCTCTCTCAGAGAGATTTTTTTGTAATGAAACAGCTTGGGGGGCAGTGGTAGAGGGGTGTACTTTTGCTGGTTCTCAAGCCTAGGGAGAATGTGGACTATATAGCTACATGTTACCCAAAATGAGTGTGATAAAAATGTGGGTGATGAGCTCTGAGGTCCCTGCTAGCTCCAAATCCCATAATCCCCTATTGCATTCTGCCTTGTGTTCTACTGACATCTGGGCAAGTCATCCATGTGTGCGCTTGTAGTCAATTCCAGCCATCCTGGTAGATGGCAAGCTCCCTGAGGACAGGGCTTACGCCGTTCCTATTCTTCTATCCATAGTGCTAAACAAAGAGCCTAGCAAATAGGCACTTAGTGTTTGCTAAGTAGAGTTTAGACTTGCTTTCTACAAACAGACCCTTGCAGATGCTGAGAGGACAGGGTCTTGTAGATTATGAGACTTTCTCAATGAGAGAAAAGAAGAGAGATAGAGACAGAAAGACACAGAATGACAGAGACAGAGAGATTTTCTCTGGCCCACAGGATCTGGAACTTGTGGATACAATGTTGTCGTATCCAGAGCACTTAGAACAATGTCCATTTTTCCTCCAGCATGTATTCTCTATTCACTGTTTCATAGGTTTCAATTTTTTCTAAATAACCAAAACAAAATTTTATTCTGTATTTTCCCTTAACTCTTGAGAAATAACAAAGGAATTTTTTTCCTATGTCCAAATTCATGCTAGAAATCATGCTAAGTAAAGGAGAGAGACAGAGACAGAGAGAGACAGAGCAGGGAGACTGTGAGAGAGACAGAAGAGACAGAGACACAGAGACACATAAAGAGGAGAGGAAACAGAGATAGTGAGAGACAGAGGCAGACTGAATAAGATGATGAGAGACACACACATAGAAAAAGACCAGCAAAGTCTAGAGGACCACCTACTCCATGTTGCCTGCAACACTCCCTAGTGTGGAGGTAGCAGATGAAAATACAACTGGGAAATATTTAACAGAATAAACAAACCACAATAAAGCCCGGACAATATTCCACTTTGCAACTAAATCAATATGCGACTACAGGGATCGTTCTGCACAGATCAGTGCCTCTTTCCATTTGAATCTGACCGCACTGATGGAGGCCAATCCCCTCATTTCACAGAGGAGGAATCAAGTCCAGGGAAGATGGCGATTTCACCTCCCCCTTGGTCACACAATAAGCAGCGTGGCCCAGATTCAGACAATCCCAGTGCTCTTTCTGTTCTATGGAAAATCGAGGAGGGTGAGATGACCTTGTGGGGTGGGAAGGATCAAAGAAAGACCAAGGAAAAGGTAGACCCTGAGCCTGGAATCGGCCTTTGGGGTAATGACCTGCCACATAGTTGGGAAGAGCCAAGAAGAGACCAATCTGGCAGAAACA